TTGGATGTAGTTTGGAGTTTGAAGAAGCAGCCCAGGCAAGAAAGATGAGTGTAGGAATCATCAAAATATAAATACTATTTTTGTTCATTAGATTATATGAAACCACCTGGAGAGTAAATATAGAAAAAAGGAGGCCTTTAGAGACTGTGCTCAACATTAGAGATTATGAAAATGAGGATGAATCAGTATACACAAAACAAACATAAAAACTGAAAATGAACAGCCAGCAAAATTAACAGAAGAAAAGGGTAGTAGAAATCAGGTGAAGAATATGTTTATCTGAACTGACTGATCAAGTAAATGACACTGAAAAATTGAACACTAGAGCAAGGTGTGATGGCAATACCTATAATACCAGTGCTCGGGAGATAGAGGCAGGAGATTCGCTGAAAGTTTGAGGTCATCCTGGGCTACATAGTGAGTTCAAAGCTAGCCTGAACTACATAGCAAGACCCTATCACAGTCATTCAATCAATCAATCAATAAAACTGACCACAAGTGGATGGGCTTAGTAGTGCATGTTTGTAATCTCAGCTGTTTGAGAGAATGCTGCAGCAGGATCACTGGTTCAAGTCCTGTCTGAGCAATTTAGCAAGACCCTGACTCAAACGATGAGATTGGGCATTGGGAGTACAGCTCAGGGGTAAAGTGTTTGCCTAGCATATGTGAGAGACTCTGGGTTCAATCCCCAATACTGTGGAATTAATACCAATTAGTAGGGTTGGCCATGTGGATGTCTTTACAAGAGCTTTTGACAAGAGCTATTTCAGTAGAGTGGTGGCATGATAGCGAGATAATAGTTGTTCAGGAGGGTTAGGTTTTTATTTTTGCTCTTTTCTAAAGTAAATATTAGTAACATTTATTTATTGTGTGAGAATGAGCCAATAGAAACACTGATGCAGTAACAATTCCTGAATTGCTGTCTAAGTAGGAGGAAAGGGATACGGTCCAGGCATAATAAACAAGCCACACACAATCATTTGTCACTTCTAAAACATGTCCTCCTCTCATCCTGTCTAACTTCTGGTGAGACAGCCCTCACTTCCCTTCCATCAGCACTACCACCACTCTGTTCACCAAATTGTGTTCCTGCTTCAAACAAAGTACAATGCATAAGATGTTCTTCGTGACATCACTCTGTAATTGTTTTGTTTCCATGAGGTATTATAGTGCCTTTGTCATACTTGACATTATTACTTTGTTTTGGGGGGTATTTTTGGTACCAGAGATCAAACTCAGGACCTTGCATTTTCTAGGCAGGCACTTATGCTACTGAGCTATATCTCCAGCTAGTCTACTTTGCTATTGACCCCTGATTTCTGATCTCACTAAACTACAATCAGAGATGAGTTAATGAATATTTTTAGCTCATAAAAGAACCTCAGCAAAAATTTACTGAATGAAAATGTCCTGTATAATTACAAGAAGTTGTTGTTTCCAGTTTGATAAGATTGGCTCATGTTTGGAGGACATGGTACCAAGTTCCACTGCTAAATATTTACTTTGCACCTTCCAGCACCTGCATAGCTCCTGCATAGTGCTTTACACTGGAAGGTGCGCTCTTTGTCTGAATTATATTAGTTCTCTGAAATGAAAGAAAAATATTTCTAGCAGGCTGAAGTGTAACTCAGCACTTGCCTAGCTTGTCCAAGTCCCTGGGTATGATCCCTAGTATGGGGGAAGAAGAATTGTAGTTGTCACTCAGTACCTATAATGTATCAGGCACTATAATTAGAACTTATTTAATTCTCTCAGCATCCTTTGAATTGGTACATATTATTTCCAGCTTACTGAAAACAGGTTCAAAAAAGTAGTCTCTTCTTCACAATAGTGACTGAAGTGGCAGAGCTAGAATTTGAATTTTAATTCTGTCTTATCTCAGACTTGTTTCTACCATCATACTATGAGGCCTCTCATCACTGTGTGGGAAGAGGCCCTGTGCCACATAAGATAACTCAGGAGATTCCTTTTCATGCCATCTGCATACAGGTCTCACCTCTACCGGTTATGTTCTGGGGAGGTGACCTCCAGTTTCTCCAAGCCGTGGCTCTGTCTCATTAAATCGCCACAGCCTGTGACGTAGGTGCTGTTCTTGTCTGTTTTCCATTTGACGAGGCTAGGCCTTAGTCTGGTGAGGGGACTTGCCTAAGTTACAGACTAGTGAATAGTAAATATAACTCACGTTTATGTCAAACACCTGGTTCCTTCCACTGCCTCACAACTGTTTCTAACACTGATGTACCCGGCAGAGTCTTTATCTAGATGCTGGCTGCAGGAGGACCTCACGTTTTGCTGTGCTTTCCTTTTTGCCTCCTGCAGTCTTTCCCTCTTTTAAAAACTTTACCAAAGTATATTATGTGTATGTGTATATTATGCAGTGCTTTAGTATGCAGTGTTTATAGTATGCAGTGCTTTAAAATTGCACAGACTATCTGGTAGGAACCTAGGCAGCCCTCTCCTGTCCTTAATGTGGATTTGTAGTTTTACTGTTAAGAGTATGGTATAGGGTGCCTAGTTTTGGAAGTTTTTTCTGAGCTATATTCTTTTTTTTTTTTTTTTTTTTTTTTTGGTCTTTTGAGACAGGGTCTCTATGCAGTTGAGGCTGGCCTTGAGCTCACTTTGTAGTCCAGGCTGGTCTCAAACTCACAGTGAACCTCCTGCCTCAGCCTCCCAAGTGCTGGGATTACAGGCGTGAGCCACCATGCCCAGCTCTGAGCTATATTCTTTTTTTTTTTTTTTTTTTTTTTTTTTTTTGCTTTTTTTATCGGTACCGGGGATTGAACTCACAACTGCCTGCTTGCAAGGCAGGCACTTATGCCGCTGAGCTAAATCCCCAGCCCCATATTCTTTATTAGTATATTCTTGTGAGGTTGTTGTGAAAGTGATATAAGTGTTTAAGGATAGCAGCAGGGGCTCATTAATTGATGGTGGTGATTTTTCCTGGTAACAGAGTATAGCAAACCCAAACTGGAAGTCAAAAGTCCTAAATTTTGGTTCTTTTGAGACAGGGTCTCACAGTGTAGTTCAGATTGGCCTTGATCTATGTAGCCCAGCCTGGCTTCCAACTCACAGAGACCCTCCTGCCTCAGCCTCTAAAGTGCTGAAATTTCAAGCATGAGCTACCAAACTTGGTTCATATATATTTTAAACTGAGGATTGAACCCAGACCCTTGCAGTGAACTCCATTCCCAACCTTTTTCCTTCCCAGTGGTCTTGCTCAGTCATTTAAGTTATTCAGGCTGGACTAGAACTTTTGACTCCCCTGCCTCTGCCTTCAAAAGGGTTGGGCTGGGATAATAGGCATGCACCTTACAGCCAGAGCTTTGTAATCTTTTAAAATCTAATATACCCAATGTTGAATTTTTAAATTTTCTTTTCAGGAAAAGAAGAAAAAGAAACATAGAGACAGGAAGTCATCTGATTCTGACAGCTCAGACTCTGAGAGTGATACAGGCAAAAGGGCAAGGCACACATCAAAAGACAACAAAGCAGCAAAGAAGAAGAAAAAGAAAAAGAAGCATAAGAAGAAACACAAGGAGTGAGAGTAGGAGAGAGTGGGGATGGGGTGGGTGAGAGAATATGGATCCAGGAGCTTTGTGACTTAAAGCCTGGCTCCTAGAAACAATCGATAGTGAGAATATGACTCCTTACCCCAGTGACTTTGCCATGGGAGATGGCTTTCCCTCATGCAGCAGGCAGGTTTGGGAGTTGAGGTCAAAAGCAGCTGCCTGAATATGTTTCCGCATTGCACCTGATCCCTTTGCAAGTGACCCCTGCAGCCCACCCATTCATTCACCCAACTTCCTTCACTCAGCAGGTGGTCCTTTACCCAGCTGCCACTGCCAGAGCTGGATTCCTTTGTGGGGATCCTGGCTGAAGCCACAGGTACTGCTGTGGAGGTGAGACTGGCTGTAGTTGAAGGACAGAGTGATTGCCCCTTCCTGTCAGACTGTCTTGGGCCAGTTGGCTTATGGTCTCTGCCACCCACACAGGAACAGCAGGACAGTGGCAGTAGGAGAGAGAATGTAGCAAAAAGTGGTGCTCACTTTTTACATTCTCAACATGGTTCTACTGTGCTAGAAGTGACAGCCAGTAGCCAGTCAGAAAATGATATTTTGCAGTGTGACTCATTCTGTGTATGACATTCCACCAGACTACTGAACCAGACATCTGAGGCCAAGATCATTCTATGTATTACTGTGAGTCTACTGGTTCTACTTCAAGTCTCTGCTTAAATTCCTGGCACTAAATGGACTTGTGTTGTTTTAAACTTACTGAAAATTGTTATTCCTCTAATCCTTATTCGTAGGTATCTTACAGATATCAAGTCACTGAACCTACATTAATTGAATTTTTTTTTTTTTCTTGAGAGAAGGTCTTGCTATTATAGTTCAAGTTGGTGATCCTTGTGCCTCAGCCTCCTAAGGGCTGGGTCAGAAAAGCATTTAATGTTATTTTAGACCAGCTGAGGTACAGAGCCAGAGGCACTAGCAGGTCACAGCTTTCTTGAGAGATCACTTGTAAGGCTCCCTTCTGTAATGATCAGATGACCTCTTTCCTCTGGTTAGGGAACCAGTCACAATCTGTAACCCTGAATACTAGCCAGGTGTGTAAGTGAGAGCTTAGCAGTCATCTTCTCCAGTGATCATCTTCTCCCACTACAGTGGCACAAGCATGGATTCTGTCTGAGCCTGCACAGTGGAAGTCTGGTTTCGGAGAACCAGACTCAGGGATGTTCAGTGCAGGATGAGCCTGTGGTGAAAGTTTATGACCAAGCCTGGGAATGCCACACAGACTGGATGAGCTCATCTGACCATGGAAGAAAGGCCAGGTGTAGGGATAGCTGTTTCATTATTGAATACATAAGATGACTAGCTGACTAGCAGTCCTTGAGATTGCTGTGCTGCTTCCTGAGTGACCTTTAGGAAGTCATTTCTGCCCACTGACACACAGGAAACAGACCTTCAGAGTCCTGTCACCAGAGACAAAAAGACAATGGGTGGCCTTTGCTCTGCTTTATTGATCTCAGAGCACCTTTTGAATACAGTTTTTAAAAAACCAGACCACATACATATTAGGAACTGGAAATGGATCCAGGTTGGTACCACTTGACCCCTGAAGAATTTCCCAACCAAAGTGGAATTATACAAAATGCCAGAGGAAAAAAAGTGAGGCAAGGCGGTGCTAGACAAGGGGTAGTCACTTGGCAGAGAAGTATTCAGTGACAGCGCTGGCAGGTCAGGTCATGCCTCCTTCTCATAAGTGCGGACACAAACTGCACTGCCGTGGGTGAGCGTCTGGAAGGAAAGACAAAGTTAAATGGGGTGGAGAAAAGCAAGAAGCAGAAGAACCTTGCATCCCTTAACCTGATGATCATCACTTAAGTACCAACTATGGGGGCTGGAGATTTAGCTCAGTGGCATAAGCGCCTGCCTTGCAAGCAGGCAGTCATGAGTTCAATCCCTGGTACCGATGAAAAGGAAAAAGACAAAAAAAAAGTACCAACTATGCCAGACATGTCACACACTCTTGACTGCTGCATATGACAAGCCTTAGAGATAGGCAGTATAACCTCCATTTTACTTAGGGCTTTTTTTTTTTTTTTTTTTTTTGGTAATGGGGATCAAACTCATGACCTCACACTTGCCAGGCAGGTGCTTAAGCCACTGAACTATATCCCCAGCCCCATAACCTTGATTGTAGAGATTTGCAAAATGAGCTTGAAAGAGAAAATTTCATCAAGATCCTAAAATGTTTCTCATTCCCTTGTACCATTCAGTTTCCTTCAAATTCTTAGGAGCTTAGGATGATGCCTGGTACAGAGTAGACAAAAATAGGTGAATAAAAGTTTCTAGAGACTCTTGAGAAATGACTGCTAATCCACCACCTCCCATTCTGTCCTTAACTTTGGGCAGTTCTAGGGCTAGATCCCTGAACCCTCACTATTTAGTATTGCAGAGCCAAGCCCATGGCCTCACCATCATCTCACTGCCCAATGAATATCTGGTCTTGTGTAATACATCCTTTCCAAAGCTAAGTGCTTCCTAACTGAAAAAGAATATGGGGAGCAGGTTATACTGGCTCAGGAAGAACTGCAGAAAACATGTACAGAGACTGCAGTCACAAAGCACCAGTGATTGCTCTCTGCCCTTGGGTCTGGGGAAGTTCCATCAAGAACATCATTTTCCACGTGAAGTTCGCAAACTTGTCCCTAGATATGCTGATCTTGTTGTTACTACCCAGACAATAGTCAGTTCTTGTAGGAGGCTAGCAGCTATAGAAAGTACTGAGAGGCAGGACTAGGACAGGGAAGAAATGACTGTGCTGCTGGTCAGTGTCCCCACCCATCACCAGCCTGCCCTTAATGGGACAGTTTGGTCCTTAAGAGGAAAGGAAATGCCATGATGGGAGATAGGAACCTCTCTTAAAGAGCCTGGGATCAGATTGGCCTTGCTTTCTACTTCTGGGGGAAGGCAGGGCAGAAACGGGGGGAAACTAAGGCCACGGGACAGCTGCTATATTCCTTCTATGTCAGTGGTGCTATGCATACACTGTCTCTTGCAGACTTGCCAGCAGCATGAGCAAGGTTGGTGTGTTTGTTTTTTTTGTTTTGTTTTGTTTTTTGTCTTTTTCTTTTTTTGTAGGTACCGGGGATTGAACTCACGACCACACACTTGCAAGGCAGGCACTTTGCCACTGAGCTAAATTCCCAGCCCGGTTGGTGTTATTAATAAGCATTTTACAGTTGCACTTGGATTAGGTGACTTGTCCAAAACCATGTAGCCTCTAGGGTGAAACTGGAACCCAAACCTGTGAGGACCCTGTCTGCCTCTCTTTACCAGATCCTGTTGCACCTAGAGGGTGGCACTGGTTTTAAAACAGGCCTGGAAGCAACAGTAGTAGTAACCAATTAGGTAATACTCTTTGCCCATCTTACCAGGATGAGTTTCCCATCAATTAGCTCCCGTACAAGTGTTGTCTCTTGCCCGTCCCACTTCTGCACATGGACAAGTTTTCCGCCATCCAGCGTTACAATGGACTGTGGAAAAAGAGTAGACACCTAAGCAGTGATCTGAGCCAGAACTCAGAGGCAGAATGGGGTTAGGAAACGAGCCTCTGATTCAAACTAGTGATGGTGCTAGCTCAGGCCTCCCACTTCCAAACCTGCCCTTTGGGATGTCCAGTTCACCTTCAACCTCTGCATATTTGCCTGACTGGGGAACAAGTCTTCAGGTAGGGGGCAACAGAGCCAAACAGCTCAGCTCAGCAGTGCCCAAGACTCCAAGAAGGGCACTTAGTTGAGAGGGTAGCTTAGTGGTACAGCACGTACTTCACATGTGTTAGACCCTGGGTTTGATTCCTCAGCAGAACAAAACCAAACAAAAAAATAAGCATTTATGCTCTACTCTAGGAGATGCCTACAACCCCATTTCCCCTGAAGTATAAGGGATATATACCTATCTTTATCCTTGAAAATGACTGAGGAGGAGGTATCTTGTGGCCATCATAAAAGACCTTTAGTAATAGAAAGTTAAACTTCTCTCTCCTCTTGTCAGTCCAAATCATGTGACCCCTTCATCTGAAAAGAGCAGCAACTGCAAGGTCCTAGGACTGAGTCTTATTAAAATGTGTTTCGGCCTTGGTTCCAATGCCCAATTAGTCTTTTGGGTACATGTAGCCTGCATCAGCTGGTTCTCATTTGACAGCTCTCCCAGGTCTCACCTCTAGGAATTTGCAGGGATAATTCAGGATAAGAACCTAAAACAGCAGTGCTCAGCAGGAAGCTGAGAAAGTTGTGTCTATGTGTTCGGGTCGCTTGGCTCTTGCTGCCTGTATATTACCTTACTCCTTATCCTCATCCATCCAGCTTTTTGCCCACTGAGAGCAGATTATTTTTGGCCTAGATATCCCAGGGGACTACTGCCTCAAAGGAATGTTCAAGGAGGTAGGGGCCTATGTTGGGCAGCCACCTCCATCCAAGGTAGGTTGTCATCTCTGGGCACCATCCAGTGCTCTGTGGCCAGCCTTCTGTGATCCTGGGCTAGGCTTCAGCTCTTCCTCTGCAAGACCAGCCCCTACCCTGTTCTTCCTGGGGGCAGCTGTGAGGAAGAGGAAACAGCTGAGGGGATACTCTCACCCTGCAAAAGTCAGAATTCCTTTGTTCTGTCCCTTGCTGAGAGGCCTGAGGCAAGCTACTAAGACAGCCACCATGGGGTAAGCGCCCAAGACTGGGCAGATGTTCCCTACTCTCTACCTGGGAAAGGGTATAAGGGAAGCTTGGCGGGAAGACACTATAAACACCCATGGCTATGAATGTTCCATCCCAGCACAGTAGTTCTTCCTGCCTGTCAGCATTGAAAGTGCCTGCCAGCACTGTCAAGTCTGGGAGCTGTAGGTTGTAGGAGTGGAAGAAGAAGAAAAAAAGAGAAGTGGAAGCATTTGAGAAGGTCTCAGCCTGTTGTACCCAGTAAAGGTGTCTTTGCTGCTGGAGACCTGGATAGCCTCACTCAGTGTGAGGTCCTGACATCTGAGTTTCGCTCCTAAAACTTGAGGTTATGTAGCCATGGCCACTTCACTCCTCCATCTGAGCACATGGAAAGAAATCCATTGCATACTTTGCACAAGGTCACCCTATTGGGGCAGGAACAGAGACTGAGGTCAGAAGAACATCCTGGCTCTGGGCTGCCCACTCCCAGATACAGCTAATTAGATGCTTTTCAAGGGAAGAAAGAAGACAGAACATGGACTTAGCCCCTAGAACATTTCAGCACTGAGCAGGCTTTATGAACCTTATTTCACTTAAGTTTCCCTGCCCCTTACAGAGCAATGTCAAGGAACCAAGACTACCAACTTCTGTCCCTTTAGAGTCTCAGCACCCTCTGTCCCCCCACTCCCTCTTCTCTGACTCACCTTGACATTCCTGTCATCAGCTGTCTTCTCATCAAACTCCACCCCCAGGTCAAAGTTGATCTCTGTGTTCTTGAAGGTGCTGTGTGTTTTTATGATGATAGTGTCACCCTTCTTTTCGATGATTGTGGTAGGCTTGGTCATGCAGGCCACCTGTCTGGTAGCAAAGCCCACACCTGAGGGCCAAGGGGAAGGTATGAGTACAGAAGTTACAACAGAGAAGTTCTGAACAAGCTCCAGGAATAACTATTGGGCCCTGGTGTGGGTCATGAGAGGAAAGGTAATCGTAAATTTCAAAGCCTTGGCATTTTTTGTTTGTGTTTTTAAATTGAGACAGGATCACACTGGGTAGTCCAGGCTGTTCGGTTTTTTGTTTTGTTTTTGTTTTGATTTTTCGTTTTTACCGGTACTGGGGATTGAACTCACAACCGCCTGCTCACAAGGCAGGTTCTTATGCCGCTGAGCTAAATCCCCAGCCCCAGCCAGGCTGTTCTTGAACTCACTTTAACCAAGGCTGGACTGAAACTCATGGCAACCTTCCTGCTTCAATCTCCCTGAGTGCTGGGATTACAGGCATGTGCCACCATGCGCAGCCAGCATGCCTATTTTTAAATTAAGTCTTTCCCCTTAGCTTTGTGCAGTGAACAATCAATCTCAATAGACAAATGAACAATGTACAAAAAGGCATACTGGAGCAAATCAACAGCTGAAATCAAAATAAGGTATTAAGACTCTGTGAGGTAAGGAACTATATACACATTCCTCATGCAGACCTCCCTTTCCTTGTGAAGAGTTGATATGGTTGTCTCTCCTTTATGGAAATTCTGAGTGGGTGTTGGGGAGGGACAACACAGATCTAGTAGGATGGAAACCCCAAGCAGTCTGACTCCAGACCTCTGGTAACTGCTCAGCCACAGGGATTCCTTCCCAAGGTGGCGCACAGGACTGCCTTCTAGGAAGGCCTACAGTGGTAGTGGAGACTTCTGACTCACATTCCAGCTCCAGATCCCTAAGGCCTTGAGACTTCTGACTCAAGCATGACTTCCCTGGATGCTCAGCAAAGTCTTTAAGTGTCCTACACGTAAGTAGTGAAGAACGCAGAACTCCTACGTTGTATCTTCCCTGGGATCTGTACTTTTGTTACCAGCCTCCATCATGACTGCCCTGTCTCTCTGCCCTCAGCAGCCTATCTGCTCCAACACAGTGGTGAGGCAGGAGGCAGCCATTTGGTGGGGTGTTGTTTCCAAAGGTGCCTGCCTACAGAGTGCTTGCTAGAAGTTAGTACATTACACATGCTCTACCTGGGTTATTTTGATGTTTATAACAGCCCTAAGAGTAGGGGTTTTTTATTGTTATCTACAATTGAGACTTAGTATCTTAACCCAAAGTCAGAGTTAAGTGATTGACCTAGTTTCCTGTGCCATTCTACCCAGCACATACTCAGTCCCACCACCAAGGCCACCAGTTGGGCGTGTGGTCCCTTGGTATTAGGCTGGGACTCTGCCTCTGGAAGGCCCTTGGTCTAAAGCAAGAGGGGCAAGCTGTGATGAAGACAGCCCAAGCTGCCTGGCCAGGGAGGGACTTGGCTTTGCCCTTTGGTGTCAAATCAGGCCAGTCACACACCTCTCTACAGACCAGGTTCTGGTCATTGCATCCTGAGCTGTTTGCTTAGGAATTAACCAGAGTGTGAATCTGAAGAAGGAAAACACTGAGAGGGACTAAGCCCCAAGGAACTTGACAACTGGGCTGGCCAGGGAAGCTCAGTGGTGAGTGCTTGGTTAGTGTGTGAGATCCTGGATTTAATCGCCAGGAATGCCCCCTAGAACAAACAAAAACAAAAAACTGAACTGATAGAATTTAGGAGAGTCCAGAGATGGGTTCTACTTAGAAATGAAGCCAAGTAATTCACTGAGAACTCAAGCAAATTTTCAGTGCCCCTCAGCCTTTCTACCAGGAGAAAAGCAGGCTGGAGTTTCATACCCATATTTCCCCTAGCAAGCTGCCCTGGGCTACTGGTGTGATACGGGTAGAATATATGTTTAGCATGCTGGAGGGCTGGGCCAATCCCCCGTAACAAATGCCTACACAGCTGACCAAAGGCCTGCTCCATACCCAAGTTGGAACAGCATTAGTGAACAGAGGTAGGAGGGTTGTTGAAACTCAGTTCAGAGATTCTACTAGTGCCTGCTATCTACTAGCAGATTCTACAAGTGCCTGCTATGGGAGGAGGAACTAACTCTGGGAAGTCCAGCTTCCCCAACAGCTGCCTTGGGCTCACCAGGCAGAATGCACAAGATAGGACAGGGCAATGGGCAACTGAGAGTTGTAGTCCCGTGACCCACACTATGGGCCCTGTTCCAGGAAACAGCAGAAGCTGAGGGGAGAGGGTTCCCCAATATAAACCCTTCCCTATCTGCTGCAATGCAGTCCTCCTCCCTTAGGGGAAAGACCTAGCTCATTCATGAACACCATCTCAATTCTCCTTGCCCCTGCTGGGTGGACTAGGATGATACAGCTAAGAATGATCAAGTGGGGGCTGGGGATTTAGCTCAGCGGCATAAGCGCCTGCCTTGCAAGCAAGCAGTCGTGAGTTCGATCCCTGGTACCGATTAAAAGAAAAAGAAAAAAATAATTATCAAGTGTCTTTAAGTCCAAACCAAGAGGGGAAGGGCTCAGGCCAGCACTACTCCCATTCCTAGGGTCTATGTGGTAGTGGGAAGAACTCTGGGCTATATATCTTAAAATCACAGTTTTTTTTTTTGTTTGTTTGTTTTTTTTTTTTAAACCAGCCTTGCTGTTGGGCTTGTAAGGCAAGTTTCTCCTCTCTTAGGGCTTGCCTTTCCTTCTCTTGAGCTGGCAAATTCCTTTCACCTGTAACATCCTTTGAAACTATTCCCCATCTCAAAACTATACTCCCGTGGACCAATAACCCTTCTCCAAACAGGTCCTAATTTTGGTCTGGGACTCTGGGTGCTTCCCTGAAGTCCAATGGCTTTCACCACCCCATCCCCACCCCCGCCTTCCCCCTAGGCTCACTGACAGTGATTTAACTGCTAATTATATAGGGCTGTAAGAGAAGGTCACATTGGTGAGAATGCATCTTCTGGGCACAATCCGTTTCCCAAACTCAGCGGAGAGGGGAAGAAATTGCTGCTAATTGAGGTCTCCCCATATCCAATTCTCTGATTTTCCGCCCTCCGCCGCCCACTTCCTAGATATTTACTACTGCTTTAGTCCATAGTACACTTCATCAGCCTCATTTCCCTTTCCTCCAATTTGCAGACCTCTTATGCACCCATTCTCTCCCAGCTGGCCTCGTGCCTTGTGCCAGCTGTGCTCGCATTTTACCCATACTCTCCTCCCGCCTTCGGATCATACATCACTCTACCTCCAAAGCCTCTCTGCTCGATATGCACAGACAAAGCTGACTTCTTCCTCGCCTCCCTTTCGCCTGTTTCGGACCGGGAAAGCCCTCTTCCAACAACCCCACGCCCTAGCCTAGGCGGCCACTCCCGCGTCCATGTCCTGCTATTCTCCACTCTTGGCCGGGAGAGACCGATGCAGCAGACACGCGTGGCACGACCAGGGAAGGATCCCAGCGCAGGGCTAGGCACGCGGCCAGCCCCGCCCCACTCGGCATCTGAGCCCTGCTTTTCCACCCTCTTCTGAGCTTGCTCACCGAGTGACTTCATGTAGTCATCAAAATTCTTGCTGTCCACTAGCTTCCAGGTCCCCAGGAAGGCTTCCACCATGTTGAAGTTGGGCTATGTTGAAAAAGAAGCTGCAAAAACGGTGTGCGGGAACTCAAGCGAACGGCTGCTTGCGTTGCGAGCTGCCGCTTTAAATAGCCCTCGCATCACGTGATGAGACGTGACCCACGCCCCCGGCTCCCGAAATAGGAAGCCTGAGGCGGGCAGTTACCCTTGAGTGTGTGAACGCCCATCCCCCTCCAACGCTCGGGGTCGAGGGTGGGGTGGGGCAGCAGGTGGTATAGCCCACTTGCCCGTCAGCCCTGGTGCCCAGTCGCGGAGTCCGTGGCCCAAGCCAAGCAAACCCGCACCCTTCCCTGGCTTTGAGGCGCTATTTGGAATCGGCGAAGGAAACAGCTGGGTTGGGCGCAAGCCACCTGTATCTTCCATCCACAGTCCATCTGTGAGATGTGACCAAAAGGGGAAAAGAAACTTGCCCTTGAGCTGGTGCCCTCGCCGGCGCAAGCTCCCATTGACCTTGTGGCACAGGCATTTTTGTCTTCAGTTTATAGGCGAGGTGCTCAAAGCCCAAAAGAAAACTGACAAGGTCACAGTAAGTGGGAGGTGAACTGGAGCCCAGATAGCGGCCTGGGAGCCCAGATGGCTCCCAGCCTGCACTCTCCTCCTGCTGCCTGGTGGTGGGGACTGTCACCGGGGCACTGTCCATGACTAAGCTGCCCCGCGTCCTCACCTCTGGGTGTACATATGACCCTCCTCTCACTGGAGCCCCACATGTGCCTGCCCCTCCCTGCGGAATGTCTCCTGTTGGGCCTTTCCCCAGCAGGTGACGACCCCCCCCAACCCCGCCCAGCCATCCCTGCAAGAGTTTCAGGCTGTTCTGACCTCTGAGCTCCTACTCAGATGGTTTTCCCCTTGCCCTCCTTCAGAAATTCTGTCAATTCAGATGCTTTTCAAGGCCAAGGCCACCTTCCCCACGGCCATTTATAGCCCTTCCCCCAACCTCTGCACACCAGCCAGCTTGCATGCTGGTAGAACTTGTTACCTCTTTTAAGAGCCTACTTTAAGGGGCTGGGGATTTAGCTCAGCAGCATAAGCACCTGCCTTGAAAGTGTGCAGTCGTGAGTTTGATCCCTGGTACCGATAAAAATGAAAAAGACAAAGAAAAAAAAAAAGAGCCTACTTTACCATTGTTTTACAGTTTACAAAGCACTTTTCATAATAAGACAGCCCCCCCGCCAAACCCACATGGTGGTGCATGCCTGTAAGCCCAGCACTCAAGAAGCAGGAGTATTTCGAGATTGAGACCAGCCTGGGTTACATAGTGAGTTCAAGGCCAGCCTGTACTATATAGCCAAGACCTTGTCTCAAAAAGACACACACACACACACACACACACACACACACACACACACATGTGCGCGCACACTTACACAGCATCCATCTTCCGGCATGCACAAAGCTTTAAGTACGTTGTCATGTTGAACTTTCAAAATGAAATCTATGAAGTAGGTGTTGTCCTCTTTTAACAGAGGAACAAACAAGTTTACAGGAACCCATTTATTAATTCAGCAGTTATTAAACACCTGCTTCGTGCTGGCACTGCTGTGGAGAATGACAACAGGGAATAAAACACATACCCAAGGAGACTGCTTCAAGGGAGCAGTGACCTAGGTGGTGTGGTGACTGTCCTAGGAGGCTGGGCTACCTCCAGCTCAGGGAAAGACAGGGGTAAGCGAATGAATCCCTGACTGTGGGAGATTCCAGGGATGAGCGAGTGTTGTGAACTCCTTTTCAGCCCACAGAGGACTCGTGGGACTTGGCGCTGCCCCTCTGGGCCTGAGCCAGGGACCTGTGGTGTGGCAAGCCTTCCCTTCTTCCTGGGCCTCTGTTTCCCTATGTGGAAGTCCCTTTCTCCCTTCCCCTGACTATTCTGGGAAGGAGACCAGGAAGGAAGAGTCCTCCCCACACCCCCAATTGTTTTTGGATAGTCCAGTTGTTGGAAGACTAAGAGGCCCATTTCTGCCAAAGCAACAGGGACAGGCCTCAGGGCTAGGCAGGGAGCCCTGGTGACCTCACTGCCAGAAAAAGTGCCAGGCGAGGGGAGAATGAAATGTTTCAGAATCAAGGTCACTGCCTTTAGACACTCAGCAACTCAGCTATCTCCCTGTATGGTACTCACAATGAAGTGGTGGACGGCTATGCTAGGGTGACAGCTGCTGAAAGAAAGATCTGTGTTCTGATCCTGATTTCATTAGTACTAGCCTGGCCTTCACAGTTTACTTTGGTCTCAGTTTCATCTTCGAAATGGAGATATTTGGGGATACTGCCTGTATGAGGCATACATTTAAAATGCTGAAAAAATAAAATAGAAGTTAAGTTGAGGGGACTGCTGCTGTTGGCATTTTTATTTTATCTCTATGGATGGTTTAGGACACTAACAGTCTGAATTCTGCCCCCCACTGCCCTTAGGTCATTCAAGGCAGATTGCTTTGCTTTTCTAATCCTCATCCTCTCCCTACTCCAGAGACAGGATTGGAAACTGCCGCCACTGTGAAACAGGGCAGTAGAGGCCTTTGGGACAGGTGGAGCACTGTTAGGCAGACCTTTTGTTCCTTCTCCTGGGGCCTGCCCAAAATGAGCAATAACTGGTTTTGAGGCACTCTAGACAAACCCTGACCTTTGCTGTAGCTACCATGTTTTGATCTGGGTCTCCAAGACTGACTCCTAAGTCTCACTTCTCCCTTCTACCCAATTTTATCCTCCTAAATTTATGCAGGTTTCTCTTCATCTCTCTGAGGGCCTTGTTCTTCATTGCCCTGTTATGCTTACTACATTTGGGGGCTGAGGATGTGAGCCTGGGCCCCTTTCTCTGCTCTTCTTTGCCCTTGGTAGATTCCAGTGTGGCTATAATATGGCAGGCAGCAGAATCAGTGCCTGCAAAGAGCAGCATCTCTTCAGTCCCCACCCTTTGGTGATGTCACTGTCCTGTTTCCATAGCAACCACAGGCTGGGATGATGGGGAAGAGGAGAGATGAGTAACTAGGAGTGAGCCAATGAGATGGGCCGGCAGCAACGGATGATCTGTGGGGCCATGGGGAGGGGGGATATTCTCAGCATATTCAGCAGTTTCCTAGATCCTCCCTGCCATCTGGATGCCTCCACTAGGGAACGAGCTACTAGCATGAGGAGGAACCTGGAGGTTAGAAGCTGAAAAAGCTGAGCTGGAGGCTCCACTGACCTAGGGCTATAGAGACTGTATTTGCCCCTTTAGACCCAAGTCAGTAAATAAATGCCAACATCTTCCTGCCCTTGCCTGCCTGCCAAACCTGCAACTAGGAATTTTTCGCCTTTGCTAGCAGAGGTGTTTGGGCTCTGTCTTTGACTGCCATGGAATCATCAGGCCTTAGCCTTTCTCTGTGCACTTTTCGGACTCTTCCCTTGGTGCATTCAAAAGCATTGGGTTCACTGGGGACCCAGGGGAAAAACAGAGAGCTCCAGCCTTGCCCTATTCAGCTCAGGGCATGGGAAGGTTGCAGTTATGGATGGTGAGGGCAGTGTTCCTTCTACAAGTAGCAGGAAACCTCTTTCCTTGTCCCTGGGGTTTCTCAATATTCTGGGTCTGAAAGGACAAATGAGGGCAGCAGATACAGGTTTGCTCAACATGGTTTGTTTCTGAGAAACTACTGCCTATAACAAATGGCAAACTGTTCCTAGGAAGAACAATAGTACTTCCTGCCTTGAGGAGTAGCTCTGTTGTGGACAGAACGAAAGCCAAACTTTTGGGAGGCGATATTGGGTATTGAACCCAGAGGCTCCGCAAGATAGGCAAATGCTGTACCACTGAGCTATACCTTTAATGCTTTTTATTTTCTGTTTTGAGACAAATTCTTGGTAGGTTGCCCAGGCTGCTCTCTGTGTAATCATCCTGCCTCAGCTTTTCAAATAGTTGGCATTACAAGCATGTGCCACTGTCCCCAGCTTAGAGCCTAAAATCTTTAGCCTTGTCTCATCTGTTTTGTTTGCCTAATTTATTACTGAAATCCTGTTCCAAGAAAAGTGACTAAGGGGCTAAAGATTTAGCTCAGCGGCATAGGCACCTGCCTTGCAAGCAGGCGGTCGTGAGTTCGATCCCCGGTACCGATAAAAAGGAAAAAAGACCCAAAAAAAGTGACTGACAGAGAACAGAGTTCAGTATACTACATGAATGAGTGAATCTAGCTACCTTTGTAGCTTGAGGGATTCTGTAGAGAGACCCACTTGAGGGGCTGGGGATTTAGCTCAGCGGCATAAGCACCTGCCTTGCAAGCAGGCAGTTGTGAGTTCGGTCCCCGGTACCGATAAAAATGAAAAAGACAAAAAAAAAAAAAGAGAGAGACCCACTTGAGTTCCAGTCTCTCCTCCATCACTTACAGAGCAGCTGGGTGACCTCAGACAGGCATGAACCCCTTGGGTCTCAGTTTACTCATATGTAAAAAACTATCATAATCCCCACCTAGCTGGTCTCCCACAGACTCTGAGAAGAAAACATAGGGTGTAGTGGGGAATGCAGGGCAAAGGTTTACTGTTTTTCCCCCTGGCTGTGAGGCCCTCAGCACAGGCCTCACTCCCGTGGCTGTGCCCATGCTCTAGCCTGCTCTCCAGGCTCTCCACCTGCCTTGTCACCCCTCTAACCTCCCTGTCCCTTAGCTGTCCTTTGCCTCTGAGTATCTCCATTTGCCTTGTTGTGGCACTTTTCTGGCCCAGATGTAGTTCATCCATTTCCCAGATGTCTTTGCTGTTATGCCAGAGGCCCCTCTAGGGCTGGTCTGGTCTGTGTTTCTCTCTGTCCTGCACAGAGCTTGGCAAATAGTTGTGTAGTAGAAAAATGATCTCTCCAGAGCAAAGAAAGCCACTTGCCCTCTTCAGTGTGCTCTCAGTTTGAAAATTCTGTCCCTCTCCCCACTCCTCTCAACTTTTCCTTGCCAAAGGATCATATCTCTTATCCTCTTTCTCACTCCATCCAGGACACTGGGCTGTTTCCAGTGTGTGGTGGGCGCCAAGTTTCCTCAGGTGGGAACTGCCCTTCTGGATGCTCTGGGCAGCCTGGATCTCAGAGGCAGCTTTCTTCGAAAACGGCCGTTCCCAAGAAGTAATGAAACCAGATCCCAGGTTGACATTTGTTGCCCCCTCCTCA